GGGGGAACCCCCGAGGCGGTCCGCGCTGAAGTCGTCGGGGCGGATCGGCCGCATCGGCGCGGGGCGGGGGGGCGCCCGACGAAGCGCCCCGCGAGGCGGGGGATGAGCTGCGCGAGACGACGCGCCGCGACGGTGCGGAAGAGATGCAGCTTCATGAGCGGCCCCTCCGCGAGGATGAGGCTGTCCGGGTCCCCCGCGAGCCCCGTCAGGCCTTTGAGCTGCGCGAAGAGGTACTCGCCGAGGACGGCGCCCGTGGCAGGGTCGAGCTGCTCCACCCCAAAGCTGTTCACGCGAAGGGAGACCCGGTGGAAGCGGTGGTCGGCGCGATACTTCTCCGCCGCGAAGGTGAAGGCGGCGAGCTGGTGCGCGTGATTGGGGTCGAACCTCACCCGAAAGCGCTCCACCTCCGTCAGCAAATCGGCCCGATCGGCCTCGGAGGCGCAGGTGAAGCTCATCTGGCTGGCCGCCCCACTTTTGGGGTTTTTGATGAAAATCGAGAACTGCACCGCGGAATCCGCCTCGGGCTGGATGTTCGTGAATTCAGTGAGGTAGGGGAAGGAGTTGGTGACCTGAAATAGCGTCTGAGGATGAATCGTGGATACACCCCAGGGGCCGATACAGAAGATCCGGGTATACTTGCCCCTCCAAGAGTTCTTAATTACGGTGTAACGTGCGACAAAATCACAAGGCGTCGGAGCCGCATCACCAGGGACAACTGAAGATGGAATAGTCATCTTCGCTGTGTGCATGTCAAAATTGAAAGCCATCTGTGGGTCCATTACAGACACGTGACCCCTACTTTTGCTTCTAAAAAAGAAATATATATATGGATCACAAACGAGAAGCAATAGCTAATATTTGTCTGGGAACTCTAGAGCACTTGGGGCTCACCCTCGTTTCTTTCGCACCCGCTTCTCCTCCCTCGCAAAACTGCACAGCAGGCGAGGGGATATGTGACAGACGCGTGAAGTATTCCTGCTATCTTATTACAGAATAATGAAAGAAGACAAGTAAACAAAATAGAAAAGCAACACTTGACACCAACTGATTACTAAACTTCAGGGTTTCTATAACCCATTTAGAAATATGCTGATAGAAATAACAACAAGAAGGATCATACGCTTTACAATTGCACATTTTGCTTCACACATACGCATTTCGGCTGATTTCTGAGAGCCTCACGTTTTTCGTTTCTAACATTTCCAGCTTAGGGAAGTAAGCCAACAAATGATGTCGACGACTAACGGGCTTTGAAATTTTCATACAAAAACTCCACAAGAGTGATAGTTGGATAGTATGGGCGATAGAACCGCTCAGAAGTATGAAGTCAAAAGCCTTTTTGGAGTTGGATTTATTCAAATAATGATTACTTCTCTGAGCAATGAGAGAGGGAGAGTAAAAATTCAGATAAATAACCACCTTTCAGTCCAATTCTATTCCTGTTATGAAAATCACTGAGATGTTAGAACACGGAAAAATGCATAAACATTTTGTTCTCACCCTACGCCCATCCCTTAAATAATAAAAAAAGAATTCTCTTGCGCAGGTGGGAAGCCGGAAGCCTCGAGTCCAAAAAATGGGGTTACATTATTTTCCTCAATGATGCATTCATGCAGTGAAACTCCATTTTGCTCCCCTATTTACTTCATGTATCCGCTTGTGAGCAACGAACACATGTGTCTCATGGGCCTCCAACCGTTTACAAAGCAAGAGCTTACTCTGAGGGGGGAACGGACGAGCTTCAATGTTTATTTAATAAACCCATGCGAGGGAGGAACAGGTAGCAAAACACAATATACGAAGTTGACATCATTGATTGCTGATGTGGTGCTTGCTCGGCGTACTAACACCTGATAAATGCAAATAACTTTACAAGATGACTTTCACCCTTCTTCTTGAAACAAAAGGGCCCTACATGCTATACGATACTAATTCAACCCCGACCAACAGTATACGATACCAAAAAAAAAGAACTAAACTCTACTTCACTTCTATCATCCTACCTTAATTACAAGTGAGAGAGCGTATAATTCTCACCCACCTATTTTGCTAATTGTTTCCTAGTCCCTGATTGCCTAAAAAAAAGAAGATGCCGGCCTATGTGGTGATTCATTTTTGATTTCATCTATTCGTTGATTCCCTGCAATCAATAGCCAAATCCACAGCGTACGCCATGATGGGGCGCGAAAATTGGCTGCAATAACGAGAAGGTTCCAAAAAAGACCGCCATCATAGGCACCTCCTTCGCGAGCGTTTGCCCTAGACCACGGCAAATAGCTGAGTCGTAGATCACAGTTTGCAGGTAGCGGTGCGCGCTATACGGATAGCACAGCGTAGATGCAACCCCAGCGGATACGCCACCGATAAAGAAATTCGTAAGCGCCGTACGCATGTAAATATCAGAGCCATATTGTTGAGGGGGTCTGCTAGAAGAAGCTGTTGGAGAGGATCCGACTTGAGAATGATCGCCTGAGGTGATTGCCGCCCGCGAAGAGCCCCCTACACCTCTTTGAATGGGGAAGAAGTTCCTCTCAGAAAAGCGCCGCAGACCCTCAAAGACGGTGAGCAACATCCCGTAGTAGAGAGCGTTGGCAAAGAAATTCGGCCCGGTATACCAGAACTGCAGGATCGTCTTGCCGTTGAGGATACGAGCAACCTGAAGCCAGGACTTCCCGGTGCGCAGAGACTCATCCGCGACACGAGAAATAGGGTTGCACACGAAGCGCATATTAAATCCAGCACAGGCCGCTACCAGAAAGGTGGTAACCATCTTTGTAAAAGGGGTTTCCTCTAAGCCAGGCAGCATATGAGACGCCGGAGTGGCGTAGAACATCATCAAAAAACCTAACTGCGGCATCCGACGGCAGACGGACTGCACGGTGCCCTTGGGGCCACCTTTGTCGATGGAAATCACGCACGACCGAGCGAGACCTCCCGCCAAGGCGCCGGATATAAAAGTACCGGGATCCTTGAAGCTCTTAATCGTTTCACTCTCATCTTTAAGGATTATAAAGGTTGTCCACTTGATCCCATTAAAGATGTTAGTTACGATCTCGAACATTCCACCCACGCGTGATTAAACACGGAAGGAAAGACGATAGACGGGTATTCGTGCAAATACTACTTCAACTCAGGCTTTACCCCCAATGTAGAAAGTAAGCGCCGCGAAAAAGAAAGGGGAATAGGGTGCAAGCGAGCGTATACCTCGACAAAGTGATCTATCACTAGATATATATGTATATATATATATATATATTTATATATGTTTATAATAAAACTCTTTTTAAACAAAATAATAGTAATAGATTGAAGACAAATTTATTTTACAATTCAAGACCTTCAGGGGAACTCTAAAGTATTCAAATGTTACTCCTGACCAACTACCAATAGACTCAATGGAATTTTTTTTACTTTTATCAGTTTTATATTGCGAATCAGCTTTTCTGCACTCGACTTAGTCATTTCATCCTATTAAATACGCCAATTTTAGCATCATTCCCCATCAAAGCCATGTGCATCCAAAACTTGGAGAAATTGAGGAGCGTATGAAGCGAATAGACAAGCCAATACTGCATTTGCTCGTTATTATGCAAACAATACAGGGTATAAGCAATAAACACAAGATTCTTCATCAAAGGTTGTCTTCTTAATGAGCTCAGTTTAGCTTCCCTTCACCATCATAGCCCTTTGGATGAAGCTTATTACTACGCAAATTAACCCTGAGCTGGTGCTTTTGGAAATCTCCCTCGCTTTGCTTAAATGTCTTGGCATCCCGCTTTTCCTGCGCCGCTACTAGCTCGTGATGCTCCTTCTTTGTGAGCGCTGCTTCCTCATGTTTTTCGGCTAAAATCATTCGTCGTTGCTCCGCCTCCTGCGTGGCTTCGCGGGGGCGGGGGTGGGGAACTTCAGCCTCGCGTTTCATCAAAATTCGCTTTTTCCCGTCTTTACCCCCGTGTTTATTGCCTACCAGTACGACTTGCTCACCCTGCACATCATTCAGCATTGAGGGCGTTACGTCGTTTGGATCTTCAAGCAGGCAGCTATAAAACTCCTGATATTCAGGACCTAGCACAATTTTCTCGTGATCGGCCTCTCGCATGTGGTCTCGAAGAGCTCCCAGCGAGGCGAAAGAACGTGTCTTTTCTCCACATACCAAGCACATCAAGCCATTTACTTTACGTGATAAATACGCCAAAAGGCCCTGCACATCACTACAGTGCTGCTGCATCGGGATGAAGAAGTCGTGGATTTTCTGAAGATGCTCCAAATTAGCGTCAGGATCATTCGAAAGGTGCCCGCAGAGGAGGCAACGCGTTTCGTCCGCGTCTTTTTCGCGATCTTCGGGGCTGACTTTGGGGTGGTTTTTAGCCTTTGCCCCCTCCTCAGCGAGCTTGCGGAGCGCTGCCCGTTTGGCGTGATGCCTCCGATGTAGTCCCATCGCTGCGCTGCCGAGGGAGGTGGTTGTGAGCATGCTGGCCGCTTCAGAATCCCTCGCTAGGATGTGCTGCTCCTTTAGCATAAGATGCGCGATGGAGCGAACATGCGCCTGGAGAGTTTGAACCGAGCGGAAAGACTTTTTACAAAGCGTGCAGGAGAAAAGGGGAGACCCGTTCTCGCCATCCATGGCGCCATCGCTTTTACTCAACATTCCTGCGCTGCGCAGCTCCTGTTGAGTGAGGGGGCGAAGCCCCTCAACACGGCGGCCAACGTTCAGGATATGCGCCTCGGAGTTGTAGTGAGAGCGAAGTTCATCGGCGCTGTTTAGTACGATATTACACGCACTACAGCGAGTCATGTGTAAAATCTTATCAACTTTCTAAAATGAAGGAGGCAAGGAAAAAGTAGCAATCATACGAATGACGTGAAAAATAACGATCATTGAAAGAAGTTCACTGTTTCTGGGCATTTATTGCTCTTATTAGTTGTCTGATACCCTGAGCTTACTAAGATCACTAATTTAGCAGTTGGTATTATGTGTCAGATTATGTGAAGCTAAGGCAATTTTTTACCATGTAACTAAATACCAAACGTTCGCTTAGTTTACGTTGTTATTGGATTAAGTCCTCATTGCACATAAATACACATATATTTACGAAATGGAACTTTTTTTATTAATCTCCAGCGTTACTACCTGTTTGAAACGAAATTTATGCAAACTTTTAATAAATTCACAATATTATTCCCACAATGCACCTGCAGGGCACCGACAAAGTTATGAAATATTCAAAAAATATTCTTAAGAGTTATTTTTTTTCACTATTCTATAAATACCCAACTTTAGACATGGTGCGCATTCAAGAAATAACAGTATAATTGTTAAATACGCACTTTTGGTAAAGCCCAACAAAGTAGAAAAAGAAAAAGTCTCCAGATTATAATACTTCAACTAAAAAAAATCACAAATAGGATGCATCATTTATAAATTATTTTAGATAGAAACATATATGGAGATACAAACAGAGATAATATATGTATATATATACATGTATTCATATATAACTATATATACTTTAATAAAGCGGATACTTTGGTTCGTGAGAAAACGACACAAATAAAGTGAATTCAATACTTTTCCTGAACAAGAACAAAGATCCTCAAATTGTGGGCGCCACTTTAGCCTTCGGTGAAATAAGTATCCTTCCAAACTCTTCGTAATTGGTTCTCTCCTTTTCTCGTGAATCGGCGTAGGAGTCTTCATCAACAGCCTTTTCAGTTTCCTTTGGGAGGAGGGCATTATCGCTTTCAGAAAGATATAAGCTTTCTGGCTCTGGCAAAAAGCCCAAAAGGCGATAAAGCCAGATTTCAAGCTTGGTTTTGTAAACATCATCACACTTCAAAAGCTGTTTGCACTTAGACAACGCCTCGGCTCGCAAAATATTTCTGCGGTTGAGGTGCATAAAATCGCGCAGGCACATCAACACAACCCACGGCATCGTTAGCGCAGCAGTCATCGCCATCACTGCAATTATGTAATGGGGGCGCAAAGTTCTTGTAAACACTCCAATATGAGAATCGAAAGAATGCTCCGAATCAATGAAGGTTATAATCAGGTAAAAAACAGGTAAAAAAAACACTACAAGCAGGTTTAAAATTGTCACAGAGTGCGACTCCGTGTAGATCATAATGACCTGAGAAAGTAATATACTAGTGTAGGCCGCGGTGAAGTAAATCTCCGAAGATGCTGTCTCCCCACCCTGCGCAAACACAAAACTACTGTCGAAGACATTTGTTAATAACCAAAGCAGGATGACGGATTGTAGAATTCCTCTAAATAGGTAGGAACAAAAGAGCTCTTTGAAGTTCAGATCCGCCCCTTTACGGGTGAGATTGTACAGTGATGGAAAGCGCTCCAGCACCACCCGCGGTGCGCAACGATCAAGACAATAGAGCAGGGTGTGCGGGAGCGTGTAAACCCCATTCCACATGAGCAACATAAAACTAGTCCAGAAGCTCTTTCCGGAGTAACGAGTAAACACTGCCGTGTATGCGAGCTGGGTAAAGGCAATCAACATGGATTTGTAAAAACTATACTTGATTAAATAGGCGGTACAGACGTAAGCAAGCTGGCCATGGAAGAATACTAAAGATCGTAGGTCGTCAAATTGAGCAATGGAAAAGTCAGCGGCGCGGGCGGCCTGCGCGCTTTCCTTTCCAAGAATTCCTACCCCAACGTTTGCTTCCTGCAGCATTGACACGTCGTTGCCGCCGTCACCAACAGCAAGCGTGATATGGCCACGTTTTCGCATAAAATGACAAATCGCGGCCTTTTGCCTAGGTGTCATACGCACGCAGACGACGCTCAAGCAGCACGAGGCTAGCCTCTCAAAACGTTCCGTAAGAAACTTATCCGAAAGAATACGATCCAGAACGCGCTCCCCTTGCACAATTAGCACCTCAGCTGACTTGAAGGCGGAGGATATGGGAGAGGAATAAGTGGGTGAAGCTACGGGAATCAAGTCATTTGAGATGAGATTATTCACCCAATCCTCATTTGAATCGCTACTCTCCACTATACGAATAACGCGGTGGTGCGGTTTATACAACCCACAGGAAAGCGCAATCTGCTCTGAAGTCTCCATTTTATCGCCCGTGAGCATCCAGACCTTAATGCCCGCCTTCAACATCATATCGATCGTCGCCTGAACATTCTCCTGGAGCTTATCTTCTATGGCGGTAATGCCTGATGGGATTAAATCAGACATTATCTCCTTTCGAATCGCATCAATGCCCAACTGACGCTCGACGAGGTCGAGCTCAGCCTGGTGTTGCCGAAAGAGAAAAAGATCCAGCTCCGTCCGCGTGAACTCCCGCTCCGCGAACAGCAGCACTCTAAGTCCACTCTTCGCGTACACCCTAAGATGCTTCACCATATCCGGGTGCGTCTCCCGCAAAGGATGCCGCAACATCGAACCCACCTGCTCGTCGGCGCCCTTCACGAGGAGCAGAATCCGTTCAGTGACGACGTGCTCGACAATGATGCCCATTGACCGCGTGTCGGACGAGAAGGGAAAGACATGGTGGATCCGATACCGGTGATCCTCCCCCGCGACGCGGAGGACCGCCTCGTGTGGGGTCCGGCGCTGCAACGTTACCCCAAGTTTCGCCGCGCCGCAGCAGAGCGCGACCTCGTCAGGGGAGACGGCCTGGTAGGTGAACTGCAGGACGTGGCTGCGGTCCACGGAGGGGTACGCCGACGGGTTGCGACACACGGAGGGGCTGGCACAGGTGGAGAGGCTGGGAGAGGTCGAGGAGCTGTGACGCGCGGGTGCGGCCTCCATGACGGGCCGCCGGACGGGCACGACCTCCACCGAGGTGCAGAGCGCCATCGCACTGGCACAGCGGATGACCTCCGCGCGCCCGGCCACCGTGGCGGGCCCGCCCAGGGCCGGGGACTCCACTGGGAGGCGCGCGCCCGGCCGGCCCGCCGCACAGACGTCCCCTGGGAGGTCGAGATGGGCGAGGGAGATTTGGTGGTCCGGCGCGACGGTGACGTGGGCGAGGGTCATGACGTTCTGCGTGAGGGTGCCGGTTTTGTCGGAGAGAACGTAGTTGACCTGGCCGAGGTCTTCTAGGATGCTCGAGTTCTTCACGCTGCACCCCACGTCGCGGTCGCCGTTGGGGCCGACTCCGGAGTGCGTCATCACCTTATCCCACGCCACCATCTTTGACATGTAGTACTTGCTCATATCCACCACCAGCTTAAACGACAACGGTATCATAACCGACGTCAGAAGAAAAAAACGCATCGTGTATACAATAAATAAGGAAGGCATCGAATCACGTTGAAGTGGTAAATACCACACCCGCTGCTCTAGATTCTCGTTTTTATGCATCGCGATGGCGCCGAAGGCTATGGATACACTAATTTGGAACAGAAAAATAAGCATCGCATATCGATTGACGTCTTGATCAATCCTTGCCCACTTCACTGGAGTTTTTCGCTTGTTCATCCCGCACTTGGTGTTGTTGCCGGTGTAAACCGCCACCGCGATGATCCTATCGGTGTTTTTAAGAAGGCAAAACTGAGGTAAGAGGTGCGAATGGGATAGGGAGACAGAGTGAACCTCATCGCTAAACTTGACGGCCGACTCCTCGCCGCGCGCTAGCAGATCGTTGGCTGCGCGAGACACTTTTCGGAGGTCGAAAACCGCCATTCCATCAAACGAATCAATGGTAGAATTCGGCGGCGGATACGTCAATGTCAGGCAGGCTAATTTTTGTTGAAGCAGGCTGACGCTGTCATCCATGGAAATAAACGTCGTTCGCGTGCGAGAAGGGTTGTCTGGGAAATAACCCCCCCCTCCGTTTGCTTCTACTCTCGCATTGGCGGCGGAGGATACCACCATAGGCGGTGTAACAACCTCACGTAGCTTCAGATCAATCTCCCCGTCTAGATTATCAGTTCGAATGTAAATATTCGGCGCGCTCGAGGCGATGGCAACTACATCACACGGGATATCTTCGTTCCTCTGTAACATAATAACATCGCCAACCCGAATAGAGGCGTTTTTTTTGTAGCACCACTGCCCTGAGAATTTATCGAGAACTAATCGCAACCGCGCGTTATATTTGCAATCATGTCGATAGCGCTCGACGTCATCGCAACCTTCCTTTATCGCGGTTAACGTAAACGCGAAAAGGATCGGGATGAGCGTCGATAACGGGCTCACGGGGGCGATGCTCGGGATAAACTGCAACGCCGCTACGAGAAGAAAATAGAAGTTAAGAGGTCGTCGAAACTGCTCGTAGAGGTTTAGAAACAGAAAGGTGTGGATGCTGTAGTGAGTATTCGAAACAGTATTATCCGGGAAAGCGTTGGCACTATCGTCATCAAGAGGTTTGATCTCGTTCATGAGGTGATTCCGATGGTGCACACGCGAGCTGAGAATGTTAAGACATCTCCTAATACTATTACCCGCACAAAGCGCGCACCTGTAAATAGCCAAGAAAGGTGAGCAATGGGAAGGGTTTTCGTGGAGTGGGAGTAGAAAGGTTTCATTAATGTCCCCATTTAGCACTCTACTATCCTCGTCCAGTTCTTTACTGGTGGCTTGGTAGTCTTTCTGACTAACCAACGCAAATTCCGTTTCAGTTTTATTGTGATCTAAGCTGTGCAACGACATCTACAAGGAAAAAGTACTCGCCGAGTTCGAATTGTTTGATAAACTAAATTTTGATTGTTGTTGTTTTTTTCTCTGCCCGATGTGGCTAAAATACGAAACTATTAACAACTATCGACGTCACCTTATTACCCAATACAGCACAAATGTATCATAATCACGCAAAACTTGCGTAATAAAACCGAAAAATAAAAAGGAGAGAGTCTAGTTGGTCATGTCAGAATTTCTAGAGCTGCAGGTAACAGTCGAATTTCTATTTCATCCACACGTTTCCTTCAGTCATGCATATTCTTTTTAAAGTGTATATATATATATATATATATAATGAGCATTCCGACGCAGGCTATGGGCATTCTACTTTTCTATATTCTTTCGTCCTCACCCCATATTTAAGGATAAAAGTCACATAAAGAGAACTAAAGTTGATTATGTACATCGTACCAGTACTTTTCTTCCTTCTTAGATAATGATGCGTCCTGGGAAAAATAACGATACCTTCAATATTCTTCTTCACAGATTCTTGTAAATATCCCCCCTCCTTTGTCCTTAGATAGAATTGTTAATGCTCTTTCATGGCATTCTGGTTCATTTTATGCTTGAATTTGAGAGGATCTCGCATGAATTCTTCATTAGCTTGTTGCTGACGCGCGCGCTCCATTTTTTTTCGCCTCTTTTGAATTTGCAAGGCTACCGAAGCCTCCCACTGCGGGACTACCACTTCTTGATCTTGAGAAGCACCGGTTGTGTGCGGCCTCACCGATTCACCGCTAGGATTCTCTGAATCACAAGGATTCGAATCCTTGCGCGCGCGAGGATTGGCGCTTCCCGGTGCAGACTTCCCCTCCGTCCGTAGCTTCGCCAGACTTGACGAATCCAGATCAAACCGCGGCAGGAAGTGAACGTCATCGCGAACCACACGCCGGATGATCTCACCGAAACCCTCCGATGGCACATCGAACTCATCAGGAAGGATTGGGATCTCCACCTTCTTGAATTGCGCCCCGTCATCCTCCAATTCGTGCTGACGAGCGTGTAGGATGCGCTTCAGACGAGCACGTAGCGCGGCGCCTCGCCAGATCGGCTGAATCAGCCGCACGGCCGCCTCGCGCCGCTTCCTCTCCACCTCGCGCTGCTTTTCCTCCACCTCGCGCTGCTTCGCCGCCTTGGCGTCTTTTCGCCGTTGAAGTTCCCGCTCAGCGCGCCGACGGAGAGCTACGCGAAGCAGCCAGCGAGTTAAACAACCCCGCGCCCGCAATTCGCGCAGCTCCGCCGCCCTCGCCAAAGAAGCCTGCGAAATCTGACGGAGCAAACGGTCGTAATCGCCGTCGAAAGTGGCGTCCACGCTCTCGATCCAAGCACTCAAGGCCTCTTGCAGGAACTCGAACGTTTCCAACTGCTGTTCGTCCTCCACAGTGAGCGAGGAGGAGTCCGTCGTGGGGATGCGCGCTGGGCAGAATTTTTTGGTTTCTTCATAGACCTGCTTTTCGAGCGAGGTGGCGCGATGAAACCGGCGACGATGCGCCACAAACAATGCCTCACGTCGAGCGCGCAACTCGATGATAAACGCATCCGCCGCCAGCGCCTGCATCATGGATGAGGAGTCGACGCTGTTGTTTGCAGGCGCTACGAGCGGCGGCTGGGGGTTGTAGGAAGGATCTGAGGAAGAAGAGGGCCCTGATTCATTGTTGAACTCATTCAGACGTGGAAACGCCTTCCGAAAGAGCGCTCTAGCCAAGCTCTCATCCAACACCGGCTTGTTATCGGCATCGAGGCCGCTTGCCTCGGGAGACTCGCCTAGTGCTAACGCCAAGGATTCCATCAAGGGATTGGCTCGGATGTCGATATTCGTTAACCACCTGCACACGCACAAGTGCTGTAGGCTCGTGAAGCCCTCGAGCTGATTAAACGATAGCTTGACAAGCGTAAGGCGAGGGCAGCGTATCAGGCCGGAGATATCCCGAATCTGATTGCCCTCCGCCTGGAGCACAGAAAGCATCGGCATCCACGGCAACTCGTTCTCCGAAAAAGCCGCAAACTGGTTGGAGTTCACGAACAACTGCGAGAGAAATAAGCAGTGGTTGTCGTCTATCGCCTCGGTGTTTTCTGCCTGGGGTGGGAGTAGGCTGGTAAGGGTGTTGTTTGAGAGGTAAAGCTTTTCTAATAGCGGCCAGCACCCCTTTGAAAGGCCATCAATTCGGGTGAGGTGGTTATCGCACAGATTGAGCTCTTGCAAGAGAATTAACGACTCAAGTGGCTCGATATCCGAAAGAGCATTTCTATTCAATTCGAGCTTCGTTAGCCGTAAACAGGAGCGAAGTGGTTCGACCGAGGTGAGCTGATTGGCGTACGCGCACAGTCGCGTGATGGAGTGCGAGAGGTACCGCCGCACCGCCTCAAGATCCTTTAGAGAATTCGCAGCAATGTTAAGATTGGACAGCATGGTACGCTCCGCGATCGCGTTTTGCTGCGCGCTCGCCACGTTTCGGATGGAAAGCGATGCTGAGGAGAGCCGGCCCGATTGCCTCCCATGGTCGAGCGTTGTGATGCGATTATCGGAGAGGTTGATCCGCCGGAGAGAGGAGAAGGTGGTGATCAGATCCGAAAGCGCCACCCCCTCGAGGGCGTTGCTTCCGATATCCAAATCACGCACCCAAGCGCACACCGAGGCGCCACCACCACCGCTACACACGGAGCGAACGCTCCGCCAATCCACCGATTGAATCTGCTCCAACGAGAAGGAAAGTGCGTGGAAACACCGCGAGGCCGCCGCCGGGCCCTCCTTTAACGTCAAAAATAGCGAGGCCTGCGTTTTTCGAAACATCTCCGCATCAAGGGTGACGAGCCCGCGCGAAGGAAGGTTCGACCGCGGCGAAGAAACTGAAAAGGAAAGGGAGGAGGAGAAGGAATGCGAAGGAGGGCGAGCGCTCGCCTCCGGGGGCTCGTCAACATCCCATGTCGAGGGAGGGGGTGGTAATGGTGGAGCCCGCCGTTGCGTTTCCCCGCCACTCTCGACGAGCTGCCGCCGCCTCGCGTCAGCCTCCGTGCGGAGTTCCGTTCCTAAACGAGTGAGCGACCCGCGTCGTGATCGCAGCCATCCGCCTCGCGCAGTAAACTCGCGAAGGCACACCCCCTTCCGTTGCGCCGCCACGCCCTCCGCGTCGAAAATAGCGATCACCGCCCTCCCCGCCGCTGCCACCCGCGCGATCGCCGCGAGCCCCGCCTCAAAAGCTGCCCTCTCCCCTTGTCGGAAGGTCTGATCCGCCG